GGGATTCGAACCCGCGACACTCAGATTGCGAGTCGAGTACCTTAACCACCTGGCCATGCCTGGCCTTTTTTCTTTGTACATACTGTTATGTATCTGCTTGTTTGTTAATTTCCGGTATAAATTCTTTCCGAGAAACTTCAGCGATACAAGTTCTTTCTTGATTAACCCAGTTTATTCTTCCTCGATACAAACTTTTAATACACAGTAATTTCACAGTGAGTACGTACCTCGTCACTCTAACTTAACAACTTTTATAACACACGTTATAAATCACAGTAATTCACACACTTTACTTAGTGTGCCTACTGTTCGCTTGACTTAGGAATATTTTTCAGGTTGGCTGTCTGTACTATAGCATTAACCATCTCGTGCTTCTCCGTTCTTCACTATGTATGTTTGTTAGTTGCGGTGTATTATTTTTATTGTTTTCCTTTTTAATGTTTGTTAATTCCTTTTCGGCTATTAGGACAACGGAATTTAATTCAGGACTTTATCTTAGCTTGGTATTTAGGCCACCTATACTAGACTAACATGAATTTTTCTTTGATTTCCACCGACGCTGGAATGATGTTACGTTGCGTTTGGATTGATATTCTGGTCTTCTTATCTGTTTTTGAAAATCGCTGTATGGTTTTCCTCTTGTCGAACTTGTCTTCGAAGAAAAATATTGAAGGTGTTTCGAAGTCACTTCTTCTCCGCACTAGGCAGGTAACGAGTGTGACATTACTACTCAGTCAGTTGATTTGTTCAATATACAAGCTCGCCGACAAACCGAGGGAAAATGATCTTCGTAAAGTCTTTAATCTCTACGTAACTTTTTTTTTTAAACAGTTATTTCGGAGCAATGCTGAAGTATGTTTTTACTCTCTTGTGTCGCTAACCGGAGCCCCCCGTCGCTGTCTTTTATCTGTAGGGTTATTTGATCGTTGTGCGCGACCTGGGATGGTCAGCTTTTAAACAAACCTCTTCCTCTCTCCATGTCTATAGTTTATAAACTATTGTGCATACTATTATTCAGAAAATCAGGTTGAAACGTGATGTAACACACTGGATAAAAATCACTGATCCATGAATAGAATTTACTTATAGCATTTAGTGCTATTTTACTCCTTCTCTTCATTTGTTCGCATATACTCGCAAACAATTCGTACTAAAAGTACTTGGCTTTATTTGGTTGTATATACACTCACGATCAGTTTCGCTGTAAATGTTACTTTCTTCACACGAGATTGTTACCAGACGCTTATTTTACATAAGATACCCTTTTAAATATATTTGTGGTATCAAAATCTAAGCGATAATTTTAGTCTAGTTTAGGTGGTCTTTTTCTCACAACAGAAGTTGGGTGGGAAGTGAAACTTAATTTTATCATCACAAAGTATGATATAGCGATATATTTCAGTCAATAAATCATTTTTATATTAACTTTTGATCAAAGTATCGGAACGAGCAATCTATGAGTCTGTCTTTGATGGGTTTAATATTTGCGTTTTTGTGCATGAATGTTACATTTGTATATTTAGGAACCCTGCAAGCTGTAGTTATTATTGACTTTTGTATTGTTTGAAGTTTCTTGATGTGAAGTTTCTTCTACGAGTTCGAATTCCCGTCCCACCAAACATGCTCGCTCTTTCAGCCGTGGGGGCGTTATTCATTGGTAAAAAGAGTAGCCCAAGAGTTGGCGGTGGGTTGTGATGACTAGGTGTCTTCCCTCTAGCCTTACACTGCAAAATTAGGGTCGGCTAGCGCAGATAGCCCTCGTGTAGCTTTGCGCGAAATTGAAACCAATTCTTGTTCATCCAGGACAGGAATATTCTATGATTGGTCTTATGTATTGTTTATAGATTTTGATAATGTTTTCGTATGTAGCTCCTATGTTTTTAACACAATTTGCTCTTTATTTCTGTGATATAGTTATTCCAAGTTATTTAGAATCATAGATAGTTCCAAGGAATTTAGTTGATGTGACGATATTTAGAAGATATATTTGATTCAAGATTGGGTGCAAATTGATTTTATTCAAGATTGGCTGCAAATTGATTTGATTCAAGACTGGCTGCAAATTGATTTGATTCAAGACTGGCTGCAGATTGATTTGACTCAAGATTGGGTGCAAATTGATTTGATTGAATATTGGGTGCAAATGGATTTGACCAAGATTGGCTGCAAATTAATTTGACTCAAGACTGGCTGCAAATTGATTTGATTCAAGATTGGTTGGAAGGTGATTTGATTCAAGATTGACTCCAATCGAAGATATTACAGAACTCTTTCAGGGGACTAACTACCCCCTCCCTGGGGGACACCTTCCTCAGGAGTAAAATACTCCGAATAGGTTCCCTCCACATTTAGAGTGCCTTGCAAAAGTATTCACCCCAGTTCAAAGTTTCGACGTTTTGTTGCCGTCTGAGCTTGAAATCATGAAACTTTCAATTGAAACTTTATACGCAGAATCTACACAACCTACTTGGAATATAGTCAGTTGCATAAGTATTCGACCTCTTTGCTACGGCAACCCTAAATCAGTTCAAGTGTAAAATATTAATTTGAAAGGTCACAAAATTAGTGCAATGGTATCTCTCTCTCTGTGCAATCAAAGTGGTTTAACTTGACTTTCGAGTAAATGCATCTGTTCAAGCCACAACTCACATAGTGATACAACAAATCAAGCATGAAGACCAAGGAGTTTTCCAAACAAGTCAGGGATAAAGTGGTAGAGAAGCACAGATCATGAGAAGGTTAGAAGAAATTTTCAAACTCGCTGATTTATACCACCCAGTCACTACCCAGATCAGGCTGCCCTTCCAAACTAAGCAGCCAGGCAAGCAGTAAACTGGTTATGGATGCCACTGTGAAGCCAACAGTGACTTTGAAAAACTTGCAAAGTTCCATGTCTGAGATGAAGCAATATCCTGGTCCCTACACAAAACTGACCTGTATGGGCGAGTGGCAATAAAGAAGCCTTTACTCAAAAAGAATCATCTTAAATCTCTTATGGAGTTTGCGACAAAGTATATAAATGATACTGCAGACATGCGCAGAAGGTTTTGTGGTCAGACGAGACAAAAATTGAGCTTATTGGACTAAATTCAAGGCATTACGTCTGGTGCAAGCCCAACACAGTACATCACCCAGTCAACACCATCCCAAATGTCAAGCATGGTGGTGGCAGCATTAACATGCGCGCTCTTTCAGCCGTGTGGGCGTTACAATGTGACGGTTAATCCCATTATTCGTTGGTAAAAGAGTAGTCGTGTTAGCGGTAGGTTTAATAGCTGCCTTCCCTCTGCTAAATTAGTAATGACCAGCACAGATTGCCCTCGTTTAGCTTTGCACGGTGGCCCGGCATGGCCAGGTGGTTAGGGCACTCGACTCGTAATCTGAGGGTCGCAGGTTCGAATCCCCGTCACACCAAACATGCTCGCCCTTTCAGCCGTGGGGGCGTTATAATGTGACGGTCAATCTCATTATTCGTTGGTAAAAGAGTAGCCCAAGAGTTGGCAGTGGGTGATGATGACTAGCTGCCTTCCCTCTAGTCTTACACTGCTAAATTAGGGTCGGCTAGCACAGATAGCCCTCGTGTAGCTTTGCGCGAAATTCAAACCTTTTCACCTTTTGTTAAATTACGAAGTAGAAATTCGAATAAACAGTAAAAAGATATCCCTTACGATGATAAAAGCAAATATCTCTTTTAGATTTGGAAGTACACTAGATTACTAAATTGTAAAAATACAAAAAAACGAATTTTTTTACTCCCCCAGTTCAAATCGGTGTAGACATTGTACAAAATGAAACAGTACAGTTGTTCAAATCTGATCTTTTCGATTTCTTTTTAAACTTCTATGACGTCAGTTCAAAATAATACGTAAACTTAAAATGTTTAGCTTATTTCTGTACACAAATTTTATCGAAGTCCAATTATCTTTTTATTTTTCTTTGACAACTATCGGCAGTTTTGTGAAACAATAAAATTTCTACTCACGCGCGCACCCACAAAAACACACTAGCAGAAACTATTGTAACGAAGTTATCTTACCTGAGATAGCATTGACACAGTTGTCAACGGCTACAACATTATACCCAGCATCCAACACTGCGACAGTGATGTGACTGCCAATATAGCCAGCCGCTCCTGTTATCAACGCTGTAGTCATCTCGTAATGTAGCATCTAACAAATACGGGCACATTTTATGGATGTATGTATTGTTACGGCAGCGGAAGTCACGCGACGCTGGGAGCATGCGCGCTGGAGTTTCTCGAAGGATCATGAATGTGCCCGCCAGCTCGAGCGTGATCTAGATGCCCTCTTTTTTAGTATATACAAGTCTGGCAAAGAAAGCCAGCGGCAGATAGATAATACACTGGATATCCTGGATTTCTTAGATATTATATTCTGGATTTCCTGGGTTTCATAGATATTAGACTCTGAATGTCCCGTGTTTCTTAGATATTAGACTCTGAATGTCTCGTGTTTCTTAGATATTAGACTCTGGATATCCTAATATCTAAGAAACTCAGAATATACAAAGTCTAATATCTAACCCAGGATATCCAGAGTCTAATATCTAACCCAGGATATCCAGAGTCTAATATCTAAGAAATCCAGAATATCCAGAGTCTAATATCTAAGAAACACATGATATACAGAATCTAATATCTAAGAAACCCAGAATATTCAAAGTCTAATATATAAAAAACCCAGGATATCCAGAGTCTAATATCTAAGAAACACGGGATATCCAGACTCTAGTATCTAAGAAACACAGATTGTACAGAGTCTACTAGCTAAGAAACACAGGATTTCCAGTGTGTAATATCTAAGAAACCCAGGATATCCAGAATCTAGTATATAAGAAACCCAGGATATCAAGTGTCTAACATCTAACGCGCTATTATTCGCTGGTATCAGAGTCAGGTAGAGGAATCTGAAACGCCAACCGTTGCCGTGACGAAATATTTTAATTGCCAACGTTACGGACACCTTGCGGCAGTCTGTAAATCTCTCCCACGATGTGTGGGCTAAGGTGGAGATCACCACAACTCAACCTGTCCGAAAAAACACCAAAAACTTACTGTTGTAATTGTAAGAAACAAAACACGCCGGCAAATTATAAAGGTTATCCAAAATACAAAGAAATTAAAACAAGAATCTACAACGTACACCATAATAACCAAGCCACAGGAACTGATGCACAACACAACACACACCGATCAGCTACTGAGACACCACTTCTCCCGACATCAACAACAAAGCTTACACCATAATAACCAAACCACAGGAACTGATGCACAACACAACACACACCGATCAGCTACTGAGACACCACTTCTACCGACATCAACAACAAAGCTTACACCATAATAACCAAACCACAGGAACTGATGCACAACACAACACACACCGATCAGCTACTGAGACACCACTTCTACCGACATCAACAACAAAGCTTACACCATAATAACCAAACC